ATTCTTCCATTTCCTTCGCTCCTCCATTTTACTCATCATCTCCTGTTTAACCCATGGTTTTCTTGCTATCTTCTCAACTTTACCAACCAATTCGCTAATAGTATCTAACATGCATTCTTTTATATTGTTCCACTGCACTTCAGCATTTCTGCTTTCACCTTCAATTGCACTGAGTTTCTCTTCTAGGGTCTCCTGCACACTTTGTCTTTGAGCATATAACTTCTCCAAATCCCATCTAGGTCTGCACTTTTGTAATCTTATAATTTTCTTCAACCTGGTTTGAAACTTGGCAACAAGTAAGTTGTGGTCAGAGTCAATATCTGTCCTAGGCAGCGTCTTCACATCCTTCACACTGTTTCTGAATCGATGTTTCACAAGGATGTAGTCCAGCTGATGCCGCCTCCAATCCCCAGGTGCCTTCCGTGTGTAAAGTCTTCTCTTTGGCTTCTTGAACCAAGTATTGGTAACAATCAGTCCATTTCTTTCACAGAAGTCAATAAACATTTGACCCCTGTGATTCCGTCTTCCTAGTCCATGTGATCCAACAGTATTCTGATATGATTCATCTCCAACAATGCTATTCCAGTCTCCTAATGTGATGCTGTTTGTGTCACCTCTTCCATCTTCCTGAAGAATTTCTTCAATTGTGTCATACAGTTTTTCCACTTCATCATCTTCATACTCTGATGTTGGCATGTACACTTGCATAATCAGTATATCTACTTGTTCCGCCTTTAACTTGACAGCAATAATTCTGTCATTACAAAAACACTCCTTAACATTCTTAACAACACTCCTCACTACACTTTTATGCACCACTATTGCCACACCCTTTTCAGCCCGTTCACCTCCAGAATAATACACTGTATAATCACCACTTCTTATTTCACCTTGTCCTTTCCATTGCACTTTACTGACACCTAAAACTGACACCTCATTTTTCTGCATTTCTGTTTTATCCATGGTAATTTAACTGCATGCTCTTTCATTACATCTGGGTTTTCTGAGGCCCAGTACACACATTTGTGTTGATAGATATTAAAAGATAAAGAACACTGTATAACACAAAACCAAGAACACTGCAGGACCTGAAACACAAATTCATATTGCCTCTGATGGTGTTCCACCATCAGTAATATAAGAAGAATCCTACTCTCTTCAGCATTGTTGTCAGCAATGCATTGGTGCTCATGGTGGACATTTTAACATTGTGATTTAAGGTAACGAAAACAACACTAGGTTAACATTTATCCACTTTACTTTATGAAATATACAGGGGCTGGACAAAATAATGGAAACACTATAGATACAGTACACATTCTTTATTAATATTGCATGTATGTTTGCAATTGTTATTAGTTACTGTCTTTTTACATATGTATGTGGTGTTCCTTAAACATGATTTTATGAAGCAGGTAATAGTCTGAAATAAGGCAGTGTACAAGTGACAAATGTTATTTCAATTTTAAGAGTTTCTGTATGTAGACCTATTCCAAAAGATATCTCTTTCAAAGTAACAAAGTGGTTTTGTTTCTGTGTGCACCAAAAAATTTAAATAAAATTGCGCCACCTACAGAATAGCTGAAAACAATTTTATGCCACCAAATTGTGGGTTTTGTATGAAGCATAGGTCATGGAGTCATCAGCATAAGTAACTCCATGGAGCAGAGTTCTTCAGATGGTAATAGTCACTCACATATT